GGCGGGTGCAGAGCAGGTGCCTGCTGGATATGGCTGTGGGGAGCTGGGGCCTGCGGCTGGCTGGGGGGTTGGGTGGCGGAGGGGGAGCCCTGGGCGGGGGCTGCAGGGGCAGTCGGTGCGGGTCCTGGCGTGGGAAGCCGGGTGGTGGCTGGGGGAGCCCCGCTGGGAGCTGGCAGGGCTGGGGGCGGGGCCTGAGGCATCTGCTGCTGGGCAGAGGAGTCCGAGTCGCTCTCGTTGTCCTGGGGGCTGGCGATGCTGGGGGAGGTGCTGCGATTGTCCTGGTCGATGTCTTTGGGGTCGCTGCTGCCCTCATCGTTGACACTGCGGCTGTCGGAACTCTCCCCCTCGCCCTCTGATGGGGAGTTGGGCCGGCTGATCTCCTGAGGCCAAACGAGAGAGGGTCGGAAGCTCAGGGGAGCGGGGCCCAGGCAGCCGGCCCAGGGCTCTTCAAGGGCCGCAGCAGCGCGACTCACCTGGGTTTTCGTCTTCTTGGAGCTGGTCCTGTCCGCCTCCTCGGTGTCGGAGGCCACCTTCTCTCGCTGGCGCTTGGTGCTCTTCAGAGGGGAAGAGGCTTCCTCTTTGACCTTCTGCAGTGGGGAAGCCGGGGGGCATCAGGCCACAGGGGAGCCCAGCATCGCGGGGGGTGGGGGGGTGAGGCTGCACTCTGGGAGCCCCACTGCCAGCAGGAAGGGGCAGCGAGGGCCAGCACGTGGGGACGGGACGCCGCAACTCTGCCCGACCTGAGCCTCAGGCCTGGGGACCTGAAGTCCCGAGGACCCACAGCAGCACACCCGGGGGAGAGCCAAGGCCAGCCCGACCCAGCACCTCACCTTGGCCGACTTCTTCACGGTCTCGGCTTTACTGTCGTTGCTGGAGGTGCTGGCGGCGCTGGGGGAGTTCCGGCCGCCGGAGCGGATGTCTTCGGCGATGGGTGAGGCACGACCATCAGGGCTGGCTGGCTGCTTCTTCCGGCCACTGCGCAGTGTAGACATCTGCACACCCAAACCGGGCCGTGAGGCGGCGGCGGCTGTGTGAGTTCAGCCCACCGGCAGCCAGGCTCTCGGCCAGTCCCAGTCCCAGCTCTCGCCACGGGGAGCAGCGGGGGGTTCAAATGGCAAGAGACAAGCCCCCTCCAACGGGGCTGTCCTTCTGGCACGCATGTGGGACACGGAGGAAGCCGGGGAGCAGCAGGGCGCCCGTGTGGGGTCTCCAGCAGCCCCGTGAGGTGGCTTTAAGCACCCACCTCTCTCTTGTGTTCCAGGTAGCTGCCACTCTCCCACCCACCCCAACTACTTCAGCTGACCTCATGTGACAGGAAGGCAAGCGCAGGAGAGCGTCAGAGGACGCAGCCAACCTCCAGCCCACCAAGCACCTCCTGTGTTAGTGGGGTGGAGGGGTGGCCGGGGCTCAAAAGAGATGCTGGGGCACGCACCTGCCGGCGTACGTCCAGGGAGCACCGCTGGCGAGCGCGCCAGAGCCTCACAGGGCGCCGGGGCAGAGGAAGGTGCCCGCCCCGGCCACCAGGCCATGCTCAGCCCCGACTTGGAGCAGAGCTTGCCCCAAAGGGCGCCCCTTCCCACCTGGGAGAGGTCCTCGGGGAGAGGGCTGGGAGTGCAGTGGCAAGGGCGTTTTAAGGGGAGAAAAAGCCTCTGCGTGTCAGGCAAGCAGTGACCAGGACCGGCCTGTGGGCACAGGCTGCTCGGGACGAGGGTCAAGAGGAACCTCAGCGGCCTCCCTGCACCCCAGGACCCCACCGCAGGGACTCACCGAGCCCCGACTCCGCCGCGTCCTCATGCTATGTTTCCCGCTGAGCCCGTCATCTTCCTCTTTGACAGGCTTGAACATGAACGGCGGGGGGTCCACGGGCTTCTCGATGGGGGGCAGCTCTCCGTACTTCTTAAAGTGGATGCGGCAGTCCGTGCACAGCAGGATGTTCTCCCGGCCCCCGTGGTGCCAGTCTTTGGAGGCTGGGGTGGGGGCAGGTGTGAAGGGCAGTGCAAGGGCCGCCCTCTGGACTCGGGGCGCACGCTGGCGGACAGGTGAACATGAGTGCGGAGGGGCGGGACGCCTCACAATGGAGCCCTGCAGTGGGCTCCGCGATGCCAGGCTGGACGGGCGCCCGTCACAGCGTGGAGCCGGTGGGGCTGCAGGCCCAGCTACACGGGACCGCCCTGACCTCGCCAGTCTGCCCTGACCACGCGCCCGCCGACGGCCAAGCGGCCAGACCAGCGTTGCTGACTCCAGCCCTGAAGTGGCTGGACCTGGTCAGCCCCAGGGGCGCCTCCGCCACCCCAGCCGGGCTCAGGGCCACTTACTGGTGGTGAAGCAGTGGCGGCAGGCGTACCCCTTCAGCTCCTGCTCACTGTCCTCGCTGTCGAAGTCATCCTCACTGGCGGAGCTCAGGTCCACTGGCGCGGCAGGCACACACAGGAGGGGAGAAACCATCACGCCGGGCCGACGGGGCCCTGCCGCTTCTGGCCTGCACCCGGCTCGAGCTGCCCGTCAGGTTCGGGGACAGTGCGCACGAGGGAGCAGCCCTTTGGGGCTGCTGACTGGGTGGCGGGCCCAGGTGTGTCTAGAGGCGCACGCAGGCTGACGGGAACAGGAGCGCGGGCGGAGTAGGCGTGGTGGAACTCCGCCCCAGCCCTGAAGTGGCTGGACCTGGGGGAGACCACTGCCACGGGCACAACACACAGGGCCCCAGGTGGAGTGTCTGGCCCAGGGCAGGGCAGAGACGGCCACAAGGCACTGGTGTTACTGTCAAGTGCCAGGATGGCCCCATCAGGCTGCACAGCGCACTGGGCCCGGGGGCTGGAGGGAGGGGGGGTGGGGTGGGGGGCCTAGTGAGGCAGGAGCAGAAAGAGGAACCGGGAACACAGATGGGCCCGTATTGCTAAGAAGCCCGTGAGAAGTCCCAGAGCATGCCAGCTACCAGGTGGGCGCCCAGACACCTAGACCATGGCCAGGATCATTTTCTAACACGTGAAAACGATGTTGAATGTAGCAGAAAAATGTGACTGCACGACGGACGCATGGCCCTGTTCCCAAGCCAGCCTGCACCTGGCTGGGCCCAGAGTCCAGGCTGCTGTTCCAGCCGCGCAGGGCAGCCCTGGGGCACCCAAGCCCCCACTTACAGAATTCACTGGAAGGGGGTCTGGAGGGCGTGCTGACGGGCGTGGACGCCGTCCGGGTCTTGATCCTCCTGAACACAGCCTGTCTGCGGTGCCGGCGGTGCGCACGGGAGCTGGCCGCCTCCGGGGTCTTCTTCCAGTAGTAGTAGAAAGTGATCAGCTCCCCCTGCAGAAAGAAGGGCTGGCTGAGGCTGTGTCCAGAGCCAAGAGGCTTCTACATGTCCCCGACAGCGAGCAGAGCTCAGGCAGGTGCTGCTCCCTCGGAGACAAGGGCTGAGAACAGCCCCCCTCGGGGCACACCTGCCCGGCTGGCCGGGGTGAGAGGCCAAAGCTGTGCCGCCTTGGCCCAAGAAGCCAAGATAATGCTCATTCCCCGGCCCGCAGCAGAGCAGCCCCGGCCGCCTCACGTGGGCACCCGCACAGCAGTCCAGTGGGACCTGGGTGAGTGCCCCCGAAACAGGCGAACAGACAAGAGCGGCAGTGGGGAACCAGGGCCGGCAAACAGGAAGACTGACCTGGGGCCAGCGTGCAGCCACTACCCACTCAATCTCAGACATAGGCAGGGACAGCTGGCGTGGATCCCTAAGTGATGTCCAGGGCCGGACAAGCAAATGCTAAGAGGGACAAACGCGGGCGCAGAAGTAGAGATGAAAGCCATGCGTCAGAGGCCAGCTTTAAGGCCAAGGGCCCCGCTTTCATGGCCCGGTGAACAGAGGCGGAGACATGTTTCAAGCCTGCAGCAGGTAGGCACAGACCCAAGCGCAGCCCCGTGGGGCGCAGTGTGAGCTGCGGCCACAGGCTGGCTGAGGAAACACCAATGTCTTCAAACAACCTGAGATAAAGCATCTTGACCTGGGAATTTAAAAGCCGCTTAGAGGCCAAGAGTCCAGATGACAAGGCCTCGTGCCAGTAAATCATCACGTACCAGGTCCACCAACGTGGCAGAGTTCCGTATCCTGACCCGTCACGCTGGGGGAACCCTAGCCCCACCCCTCCCGCCTCCCATTATAGTCACAAAGCTTTGCCTAGTGAACAGGGAGTGAGAGAAGCAAAGATTTCATTCTCTGGTGGCCTGAAGTTCAGCCACGATGGTGCTGGGGCAAGTGCCCACACCTGTGCCCAACAGTGCCCCACGGGATGGCTCCGGCACCCCTAACACCGAGGCCGGCCGGCAGCGGCGGGCGATGGCCTGGGAGGCGCCTCCGCAGGCTGGCAGTGCGTGAGCCCTGCCGACCCGCGCTGCACCATGCCTTTCTGAGCCGCAGGACCTTGGCTGTGTGGCTCTCAAGGCGGCCTCGATGTGGGAGGAAGGGTTTGGCCTCCACAGGCTGCAGCTGGGGGCCCTCTCAGTGTGGGCGAGTCCTTCCTTCCCAAGGCCCTGAATGGCACCAGGGACCAGCAGTGTCTACCAGAGGACGCACGGCCAGGCCAAGGAGGCCAGGGGCCAGCCACATGCCACCCACTGCACTGGAAGCTGGGTTGGCGGTTGCAGGGCACCAGATTACTCATCCCTTGAGGTACGGCCTTCTAACATCACAGCCCCGGCAGCTCCTGGGCCCTACTCTTCACCTCCCACCGCCCTGAGCGGGAAAGCACTTGCCCACATTGATCTTTAGGGTTTGACCAGGTAAAGGGAGCAAACTTGCAACTCCACGGGGAAGTAAGAGGCCTGTGCAGACACAAAGCTGACCTGGCTCGGGATCTCCTATGGGAAAATGGGCCAGGCAGGCCAGCGCCTGGCTCAAGTACACGTCAGGCTGGCACAGAAAGTCACCCGATCCCAAAGCGGCAGAGAGGAACAAGAAGACCCCAAGTGGCCCTTTCCACCTCTGCCTTCGGTTGGCCTCTTCAGGGAATGCAACAGGAAAGGAAATGCAAACCCCAGAGGCCAAGGAAGCAGAAATGGGGTGAGTCAGGTGGGAAGGCACAGAGCCCAGCCTCTCAGGGTGCGGCTACTGACCTGTCCACACCGCTGGCCCACACACGAACGTGCAGAAAGGTCGCAGACAGTCTTGTGAGCTGGCCCAGCCTGGCGGCCCGGGGTGGCAGGCTCGCACAATCTCCCAAGAAACCACTACTCAGATCAGAGTCCGCTTCTGGCAGACGCCTCAGTGATGGCTCTGAGGCAGGAACAAGGCACCAGAAGAGACCGTGGCCTGGGTGGTGTCAAGGGCCGCGCCGCAGGTCTCCTTGGCGCAGCACTGGAGCCGGTGGGTGGGAACCCACCCAAGAAGGTAAGATCCAAACGCAAGCAAGGGTGAGGAGGTCTCTCTTGCACGCTGGTGGGGTGTGAAACAGCCAAGCCATGTTGCTTAGCATAATAAAAACTGCCAGTCTTATAAACATTACCGCAGATCCAGCCATGCATTCCACTTCTAGGTATTTACCCAAAAGAAACAAAGTTTGCCTACAAAGTTTGCAGAAACGTTCGCAGGAGTTTCCTCGTCATATCCCCAAACTGGAAACAACCCCAAGGCCCTCTCCACAGGAGAAGGATCGGGACTCTGGCACGCCCCTTCTCGGGGACACTGCTCAACAGAAAAAAGAAACACACAGACACAAGCAGCAAGACGGGCTCATTTTAAAGCCAAGGTTAGGCAGCAGCCAGACAGGAGAGGGCAGGTCTGGAAGCACAAAGAGCAAACCAGGGGCTCCCCGGGGGGTGGGGTGGGGTGGAGGGGACTGGGGTGCCCTTTCTATGGCAGTTACAACTGCGCCCTTACAACGGGCACACTCTGACCTGTGCGGCATGTGCTGGTGAGGCAGCAATCAAGTTAATTAGCAAGAAAATCCAGGCCGGGTTTTACGAGCTGCCTCTTGCCCTGTCAAGTCTAGCGGGGCTAAGCGGCCCTACAGCACCCTGGCGACCCGCACTGTGGCACCCTGCGACCGCAGCCCGCACGGGTGGCTGGGTCTTGAGCACAAACAAAGGGACATGCCGGGAAAGCCGTGCTCCTGCAAACAGGGACTGGAGCAGCTCGAGGCCTCACTGGCATGAAGTCAATTGAACTTTAATCAAACATGCATAGTGTGTGCTGCAGAGACCGGCTGCACATAAATTCAGGGAACAAAAGCTGCTGCAGAAATCAATAGCTTACTGAAACATTAACACAGGCCATCATTGATCAAAAGGCAGCCCCGCAAAGGCAGCCTTGCAAATTAGCTCCCGCTTCTGCTTGCAAGCAAACACAGAGGTATAAATGTTGTCGACATGAATGGCCTGTAATGATCATTTTGTTCCCAGTGCTCTCACCTCGTCTCACAACAAAGCCTCACAGTCAACACACCTCACATTTCAGTGGCTGTAATTGCCACAGCACAAGGAACTGGTTTAGGGCCTGGACAAAAAAGGAAAAGAAAGGGGGCGAAGTCATCTCCATTCGCTGGGGCTCTTGCCAAGAAGTGCTTGAATCCATCTATATTTAGCTGCTCCCTCTCTCCAACTCCTCTGCCTTTTCTTTTGGTGTGTGTGGGGGAGGGGCGGCAGGGAACTAAGCACTAAATTTTCCAGACATACCGTAAGCACAAGCCACAGGCCCAGTGCTGCGTCTACATTCAGGTACCCCCCCCCCCAGGGGAGTCCTCTCCGGCAACCCTTCCCCCCCGGGGAGGCTGGTAAAGCAGGAGCTGTCTCCCGAAGGTGGGGTGGGGGTTGCAAGAAGAGAAGGAGGCAGCAGCCCAAGGGTCAACTCTACTGGGCAAGGAGGCCAAGACGGAAGAGCTGCCCTGGCAGCCGGGGACAGCACGGCGCAGCCCCCTGGCCACCCATCAGCTCAGTCACTTGGGGTTCGGGAAGGCCCTCCTCCTCGGCACTGCCTCACCTCATCCGGGCACTGCTGTGCCTCCCCTGGCAAGGCCTCAGCCATCAAGTTCACGCAGCATGAATGCCAAAACTTGTCCTCCTTGGCCCTCACTACCAGGTGGCCTGGGCTGAATCCGCAGAGCTGGGGCCCAGTCCTGTCAGCACCCCCCAGTGTCAATGCCTCTCAGGTGAGTTCTGCTGAGGCCTAGGCCTCCTTCTCTCGCACAGCCTGGAGACGAGTTCCAGGTCCAGTGTGCACACACTTGTGTGTGTGTGTGGGGGGAGGTTTGAGGGGGAGTAGGGGGATGCAGGGGTGATGGAGGCAGGAGCGGGCAGTCCTCGCAAAGTCACCTGGAGACCCGGTGAAAGGGGAGATGGTGGGAACTGAGGTCTGGACCCCAGCAGACAGATCACGGTGCTTGCAGGTGGCCCTCTACTACCTGGCCTTCCCTTCCCAAGCCAAGGATGGCCCATCTTTCAGCAACAACGCTCCCCGCAGTCCAGGCTCAAGAACGTGCATTCAGCCCAGGGCAGAGCAGGCTCCGTGCAGCCCCTCCCTCCATGTGGCTCTGTGATGGCATGGCAACCATCTGTCTTAGCTATGCTAAGGAAGGTTCTGGAACACTGGCGCTCAGCCTCCAAGTACATGCCAGCAGGAATGGCAGAGGTTGGGGGAGGGAATGGCTCCCTCACAGGGCAGGTGCCCAGATACCAGTCTCAGAAGGGACCGAGCGGAGATGGCCCACAAAAGCACGCCCCCGTGAGCAGCATGCAGCCAATTCCCTCCCGACCACCGTTTCCAAGGCAACATCTGGGGAGCAAGCACTGCCACGGAGGGGCAGCAGAGGAGACGGGTCACCACTGCCTTGTCAACAGTCTCCGCCTCCGGCGCCTTCACAGCCCTTCCGCGTGCACACCACGGTGTCTGTGGTGGCACAGGCCACTGTGGGCGGCAGGCAGCGCCCCCTCTGCAGAACACTCGTGCCCTCACGGCGGGGAAGCCGGCCGGCTTTTAGAGAAGAATGTCCTTGAAGTTTGGCACTGTAACCTGTTCCCACCCTGAACAAACACTCCGGCACGAATGTGCAGGAGGCGGCTACGCCCTGGCAGTCTAGCTGCAGCCGTCTGAAGTCCGTCCTCTGCTAGATGCTGTTTGAGGAGACCTCTGAGGTCTCTCACCCAGCTCCTCCAGGTAAAGAGGGTGAAGAACACCACTCACTCACTGGATGGAACAGATCTATAAAGATCTAAAACTCGTCCTGAGGGAGGGGCCCCAGCAAGCAGAGACAGGCGTGGGCAAGGCCGGCACCAGTGGCCCAGGAGGAGCCAGGGAGGCCTCCCTGGGGAGAGGAGCACTGGCCACC